TTTCTGAAGGTTCTGGGCTGCAGACACGGTTGGAGCGTTAATGCTCAGTGCAACCCATGGGGTAGAAGGCAGCTCAGTTTCTCAGTTCAAGACCCTTCTCCTCCACGGAGGACTCCCTAAATTGGAGGGGGCAAGAACAGAGATGCTCCTTTGCATCCCAACCCTGGTTTTTACCACCTTCTCTGCTCTTCCGGGCGATTGCAAACCTCTAGCCTTGCGATCTCAGCCAGGCCTTTAGAATGATGCTCCCACTTCCTTTTCTCATTTTATTACCCTGATCGGGGCGGCGGGTACCTCACGGGCCAAACTTGGGGGAACGGGGAGGAATTTTTCCAAAGCACAGGGAAGAACACCAACATGAACAAAAATAGTAGCAATAATAAATCCTGGTGAAAATACTGGAGAAGAATATGGGATATTAAAATAATAGCAATAGCCAGTATTCTTCCCAGATGCTTCCGGTCTGAAGGGAAGAAGCTAGGAACAGAATCAAACATTGGGAAGGGAGATACCACGGTCCTGGAAAAAAAAAAAATATAACAGAGCCAGATTTAACTAGGCAGGAGGGGAAGTGACCCCCTGAGAAACGAGGGAATTTCTCTCCCTTAGTCTGACTCCCTCTTTTGCAAAAGGAGTTGGTCCAAGTTTCCTTGGGTCGTATCTGTTGTTACAATTCTTACTCATTTTCCCAGGCCCTTCTGCTTGCTTGATGCCTCCAGGAGAGACCTGAGTCAGGCAGGACGCAATGGAAACGAAACGGAAAAGAGGGTGTCTTTTTAAGCCACTTCTTTTGGGGGAGGAAAGAAAGAAGGTGGTTTGGGACTCGATTCTGTTAAAAAACAGAGGCAGGAGGGAAGATCCAACAGTGGTTTCCTCTTGCTTTCGCCTGGTTTTGTTTTGGACTTTTAAGTGGGAACCTCTAGTCTTCTACCCACGGTGATATTAAAATCGGGGCCGGAATTTTGCAAAAATGCATTTTGGGGGGCAAACCCAGCTGGGAGCAGGTCGCGGAAAGCGGCGATCCTCCCGAAGAAGGAGCGAAGGCTGCACGTTGCCGCCTCGCTTTGGAACTTACTGCCCACTGACTGGGGGTAAATAATGGAAAGGCTCAGCACAGGCTGAGGTCTCTAATTTATCCTATTCGGCCTGCGGTCCGGCCTCCGGAGCGTCTGGAACAGAGGGCCTGGGAAGCTGAGGCTTCGGAATCCTCTGCGAGCTGGTCGGGGGGTGGCAGGGTCCGCGCCAGGGATGCGTGACAAGGGAGCAGAACGGAAAGGAACCGGCCCCGCTCGCAGTTTCGCCTTCCCCTTCCAGCGCCGGCGGGGCCCAGGCCTCCGTTTCCGGCCCACCTCGGCCCCGAGGTCAAGCGGGAACCCATGCCCGGCGAAGGATTTCGGCTTGCACTTTGGGCGTCTGGGAGCAAACGCTGCACCCAACGGACCTCAGACGGAGGAAAAGATAATTGTTAATAACTTGGGAAACGGAAGAGTATTTGGGGTCAGTCAGTCCGGCCTGGCCGGGCGGAGGGACGCGGGTCCTGCTTGCTGGAAGCGGCAGAGTCTGCGGCCCGGCTGGCCCGGGCGCCCGAGTCCTGCGCTGGAAACCACTGCCCGTTCTCCCCGCGGGCCTGACCTTGGCTCCTGGGGCTGCTCTGTCAGCTGCGTTCCTGACTTTTCGCGGCCGCTCTGGCCCCAGACGGCCCGGGCCTGAAGCCAGGCCCTGCTTCGGAAAGCCCTGGGGGTTCGGCGCGAGCGAAACCCGGGATGGAACCCCGAAGCTGGGGTGCGAGGCCAGATTCCGACGTCTGCTTCCCTCTCGGCCCCTTGGCGGGGAGCTTACCCTTGCGGAAGGCCCGGCGCCGCTTGCTCACTCCCGGGCAGGCCTCTAGCTCTTCTGGGTTCGACTACGCTGTACGTTTCGCAACCGCACCCAACGCGTTTCCAGCCGCGCGCAAAAGCTGGAGCGCATCCGCCACGGGGCGCTTAGACGTTATGCCCATCGGTGAGCTCCCCAAAACTGCGAATCCTTATTACAAAACAAAATAGAGCGTCTCACCCAGTGCAGGCCCGGTCGCTGTAATTTTTCTCTGCAGAAATCATTCCCTCTACCCCCTCCCCACCACCCACTCGCATCCCGCCCCCGCCGGGCCAGACTGGGACGAGTTGCATCCCCGGACCTAGCTAGGGGAGCTCGCGCAGAATGGGCTTTTTCTCAGCAAAAACATTGCGGACGACTCTCTTTCTTCCCCGCCACGCCTCGATCTCACTTCCCCTGCGCGATAACCCGGTAATTACTTCTATGCAGGTCTGCAAGCCGGCGCTGAGTTATCGCGCCCCCAACTGAACCAGCTCGAGCGGCGCCTCGATATGATATTCGTTTGCCGAGAGCTCCTCCTCGGAAAAAAATAATTTTTAAAGAATAAAAGGACTCTCGTGCCTCCTCCAAGGGACCCCGTTCCACCCTAAACAGTCTGATTTCTTCCCAATCGGGGCGACGGGGGCGACGGAGGCTCCCACCTCCCTTTGCCAAGGGCCCCCTCCCCCTCCCTAAGGAAATCGATCTTGGCTCTATTTGTGCCTGATGTTCGCCGCCCCCATTTCCCCCAGAGAGCGCTGGGTTTGTTTATTTCCTTATTTATTCCCGTGGCCGAGGTGTCTGGGACTTGCGGCCGCGCAGACCAGGGGCTGATAGGCGAAGACGGACAGAAATTAACTTCCCGCCGCTGCCCCCCAGTCGAGCGTGACAGTGCGCGGGCCGGTTGCGTGACTCGTGACGTCTCCAAGTCCTATAGGTGCAGCGGCTGGTGAGATAGTCAGTGTCGCCTGGTTGCCTCTTTATTTTATTGGGGTATGCCTGGTAATAAATAGTAATATTTAATTTGTCGAAGACCACAAACCAGCTTCTCGAGCTGGGAGGTACATACTACGCTTGACAGAGGCTGGAAGAAGGCTTGGCCTAAAAGGGGTCTCTTTTGGGGGCCCTTTGCAAACTTCACTTGAACCCCCACTCTCCAGCAAGGCGCCACTGTTGGCTTCTGCCGTGGAAAGAAGAGGTGGGACTTTTGGAGGTGAGTGTCCCCCTGGACAGCTATGCGGGGGAGAGGTATCCCTCAGCACTTCGCCTGGCCAAGGCCCCCTGGCTTTGCGCCCCAGCCCGGTCCTGCTGAATACCCCCTCCCAGAGATGCTGTTTTTCACCATGGAAATAAGAATGCACGCTCTTGCGTTTCGCCTTGGAGTGTCACCTGGCAGGAATAGATTCCCGCTGGAGGTTTCAAAATCCCAGTTTCGCTTGGTGGCCAGCACAGGCTGTGTTCCACAGACCAAGTGAATCTGGCCAGGCAGTTACTTAGGGGAGTTCAGATGTGCCCTCCCGGGAGGGGGCTGCAAATTATTTATGGGAATTTTTTTTATCCACAAATCTCCGAGAGTTTAAGGGGATTGGAGAAGTCTTTCTGGATTTCCCCTTCCTTTTGCCAGAGATGCAGAGATCCAAGCTCATCCTGAAGCCGTATTTGTTTCCAGTCTTCGGCCCGGGGTCTCCTTAGCAAGCCCAGAGTGAGTCCTCTGAGCTGACATTTTGGAAGGGTGAGGGTGTCTTCACATTAATAAATAAACTGCTGTGGTGAAAGGTTGTTTGCAAACAAACCTGGAAGGTGGAGTGAGAACTGCCACAGACGCTGGGCTTGCTTATTGCCCCTGGTCGCCCGACTTTTAGGGATGAACAATCCGCTTTGCAATTTTGCAAATGGGTGTGTTATACCCATCTGGCCGCTAGTTTCCAGCGCTTCTCTCCTCTCTCCATCCCTCTCCCCAGACCTTGGCCTGCAGGCCCAAGTCTCTAATCAGAGCCCCAGAAAAGAATACGGCGACGGGGTACAGGAGGCAAGGGTGGGAAACCGAAGGGAACCCTGACAGTTATTCCAAGCCCCGATACTTGGTGCTCCAAACTGGGTCTGCTCAGGCTAAGACCTACTCACTGTGTTTACGCTTCTTTTGACCTCTTCAACCCGCAGAATAATACATTTCAGAGAGCCGGGAGGGCAGGGAGAGGGGCCCAGTAGAGATGAAAACCCCAGCCAGTCTCCCATGACTGTTTGATTATTTTAATAAAACCGGGTACCGCCTGGCGTACACCTCCACCCGGGGAGGTCTGGTGGTCCTGGGGGTGGAAGCCCCCCCCACCCCGGGGCAGTTTCTTGGCATCTTTGATCTGGGTCCCAGTCCCAGTGCACCTTCACCCTGCCTTCACCCTGGAGTCACTGGGAGTTGGGGTGGTGAGTGGGGAGGGGGAGAGATGTCAGGACGGCCGGCGGCGGCCAGCCGGGCCAGGCGGGGTCATGCAGCTCTGTCTTGAGGTCAGCGCTGGAAGGAGAACGTGGGCCAGGCTGCAGAGGGGGCGCGAGGCGTGCTGTGCTCAGACTGCGTTCTCTGCACAGCCCTGTCCCTGACATTACTTCCCAGGCAGAAGCCGAGTGGGTTTGCGATGATTTGTGCAGGATTTTTTTTGCAGCCACCGAGCCGAGCTCAGAGCAGCGGAGATGGATGGAGGTTGGGAAGGGGGTGGAGAGGAGGGGTGATCTCGAGGTCTGGGTTTGAGAGTAGTGCTGTGATTTGAGTGTTCGGGGAAATCTAATGGAAAAGGTGGTTGGGGGAGGGAGTGAGAAGAGGGAGAGAGGGAGGGAGAGAGGGAGCGAGGGAGAGAGGGAGGGAGGGGGGCGGGAAAGAGGCAGAGGCAGGCTGTGTGCAGTGGGAGCTAGTTGGATAGGCAATTTCAGTATTTTGTAAGCATCAAGGCAGCCCAACGTCACTGAGCTCAGCTGAGTCGGCTTGTATTTCTGAGACAGAGAGAGAGAGAGAGACTCTCTTTCCTTGGATTCCAGAACTTTAACCCTGAAAGCGGCGCCCAGAAAGGACCTTGCCCATTCCCACAGCTCCCTCCTGTCTCCCCAGCTTCTCCTCCAGAGGGGTGCAAGTGAGAAGCAGGGCGCTGAAATTTTAACTTTGAGGGTGCTCCAGGAGGCTGCTGCTTGCGTTCCTTGGAGCCCTTCTGGCGCCTCACAACTTGGAAGTCTTTAGGGAGAGTGAGTGAGCTAACGCAAAGCAGAGGAGGTGTGTGTTGGAGGTGGGCAGTCCCTGCCGAAGCTCCAGCGGTGGGTGATCCTTTGTACGCAGCGGTAGCCGCTAGTCTGGGCGAGCAGTCCCGGGCATAAACCCCCCGGAGCCACCATGCCCGCGCCCCCGCCTCGCCGCTGGCTTCCCTGCTAGGAGCAAGAAGGGATTTGGTGAATGCACCGGCTTCGCCCAGCGAGGTAACGGTACCCGCAGATGGCCGGGGAGGCTCGGGGAGGGAGCCCCTCCAGCCGAATCGGCTCCGGGAAGGCGCGGTCGGTGGGACTCCAGCCGTGCCCGGGATGCGGCAGAGCCCGGCTTGCAGAGAGCTCCGGGCGCATGGAGTCAGCCGGGGAGGCGCGCGGCCCAGGAGCAGCGTGGAGGTTTGCAGGACGCGCGGCCTGGTTCTGTCAAACCGCATCTAGCTCGCCCCCGCCAGCCCGGGAGCTGCCGCCCGACCCCGACCGGGGCGAGCTGGTTGCGATTGTCCCTGCGGCCGGCGGCGGAGGCGAGCGCACGTGGGGGACGGCTGCTCCGGGTTCTTTTGTTGCAAGCTGGCTGCTGGGGGCTCCCGTCACCGCCTCTCCGGAACCCCGAGGGTGTGGTGAGGGAAGCTGTTTGGGGAGTTGGGCCTCGGAAGCCGTCCTCCTCGGTCTGGCTCTGGGTGTCCGGCCCCCGCAGCCCTGGGTGGGATCCAGCCCCTTGCTGGAGCGGCCGCTAAGCTTTGGGGGGCTATCCTCGGCGCTCCCTTCCCAGTCTAACCGGGTTTTGAGGGAGGAAATCCTTACTTGGAAATGTGGAGGAGATTGGAAAGCGATCAGAGCAAGAGGCAGGCTCCTCCGGGCTTGAACAGTTCTGCAGCTGTTACTTTTCGCGTTCCAACCTCATAAGCCTGCAACCCGGGCCACTCTACCCCTTGCGCCCGACCTAGGAGGCCGATCCAACGCCGGAAGCCCAGAATTTATCTGGGACCCATTAGACCCTCGCCGGTCCCCCGAGCTTGGGCCTGCAGTTCCAGCGAGCCAGGCCCGGCTGAAGCTCAGAGAAACTCCCCTCGGCCTGGCCGCTCGTCAAAAATGCCCGTCCCGGGCTGGAGAACCGAGAAACCCGGGAGAACGCGCCGCCGCCGGAGCAGGCGGTGGGGTCCGGAGCAGGCGGTGGGGTGCGGGCCGCCGGCGCCCAGGAGCGCGTCTCCCTCCGCACGGCCCCGCCGCTGCTGCTTTCCTGCCCTTTCCGTTGGGCTACTTTTCATTTTTTTTTTTTTAACCGTTGCTAAAAGTTGGGGAAAAGGGGGAGGACTCTTACTGTTGAAGGACTTTTAATTTTAAAGCCCGTAACTGATAAAGGATGAACGTGAATTCTCCCGCGGACCTGGTCTCTCGATCTGCAGATCTTTTCCCTCCTCTGTGTTTGGTTTTGCAAGAGGCGGGTTGTTGCAGACATTTTGCCTGCTGCCCAAGAATATGCCTCGTTCGAGTTTTAATAAACAGAGCTGTGATGTCCCTCTGTAAATTTGACGAAGAAAAACAATTCTAAAAGGACACTAGGTTTTTGTTTTGTTTTTGGTTCGTACTCAATGGCTTCCAAAAATACCCAGGCCTTATCTTTATTGGCTCTTCCAGAAGTCCAGACAAATTTGACGGGCAGCTGGCTTATCGTGGGGAGCCTGCGCAGGGGAGATGCGGGCCTCGCCTCCTCCCGTTCTGCCCCGCTCTTTCGCAAGAGGTTGTGTGCGCTCAGAAAGGAGTAATAATGATAATAATAAGGGGACCTCCTGCAGCCTCCTTCAGCTCGGAACCGAGGTGCCGGGAGCTGGAAACTGGGGGCCCGGCTGCCCCCTCCTGTCACTAGAGCAGTGTTTCCAACTGTCTCTTCTGTCTCTCTGCCTCTGTCTCTGTCTTTCTGCTTCCTGTCCTCAGAGCAGGACCCTGCGCGGGCACAGGGCGCCGGACACACCATGGCTGATGCAGACGAGGGCTTTGGCCTGGCGCACACACCCTTGGAACCTGACTCAAAAGAGCTACCCTGTGACTCCAAACCCGAGAGCGCGCTGGGGGCCCCCAGCAAGTCGCCAGCGTCCCCGCAGGCCGCCTTCACCCAGCAGGTAAGGAGACCTCTAGCCTCCCGGCCCTTACAGAACCAGAGGCCCTCCTGTGGGGGAGGGGTGGGGGTGGGTTACTCATCGCCCCCAATTGTCCCCTTTCCTTTCCATCCGCACTCTTTCCACCTTTCCACGCCTTGCATCCCCAAATACCAGTATATTGTGACAATAATCTTTACGGCTAGAGGATTTTGGAAATACATTTAGGTTGTTAAAGAAGGCTTAATTATCTGGCTGTTTGGGGCTGGCTAACAATAGCCCAGATTGTGGCTTCGCTGCTGCACTAGGTGTAGACTCAGCCCTGAGCACCTCATTAAGGGCTGGGTCAGCGGCCGCTTCAGGCCGGCGTGAGCGATGGCTTGACCCCTCTTCAGATCTGCTCTAGCCTTCGCCTCCACGGGCCTCCTCCACGCCGCCGCCCAGACCCGGGAGTTGCACTGTTTGTGTTGGGTCAGGCTCTGGAGGGCTTGGGGGCTGGGAGCGCAGGGGTGTGCTGGGAGGCTGTTGGGAGCCACAGGCTCCCCTGGCTGGAAGCTGAGCCCCAGTAGAGGGTGAGGCTTCCGCGCACTCTCTGTGCCCTCTTCCCCGGGTGCCCTGGATGTCAAGGCGGCCAGTGCAGCTCTTGATAATTTACATAAGGCGTCAGATGGTGCAAAGGAGGGTGACTTGACCTGCACAGAAACTTGGATGTAGCCAAAACCTTTCTTTGGGATTTCGATCGCTTGATGTCTTTCCTGCCTACTTTATCACCTGTCTCTCGGCCCTTCCCATCTCGGGAAAATGCTAGAGAAGCCGAGGGCAGTGGGCACAGAGTTTGGGAAACTCAGATTGTTTTTGTTTTCGGAAAAGCAAATCCGCTCACGAGACAGTTACGGATTATGGCAGAACGGAGGTTTTCGTGTCTGTATATTTTTTGCACCGGTTTTGTAAAATAGCTTTTAGTTGAAAGTGGAAATGTTGAGCAGTTTCGGCTGTGCCCGGAATCAGAACAGCTCAAAGCAAACAAAGCTGGATGTGAGGAGAACCTGGAAGGTTTGTTAATCTAGACATTTGCAGACTAATTTTTTGGACTGTGGGAACCTATCATCCTATAGAAACATTTTTTTAAATTGAGATTTTGACGTGTGTCTGTGTTTGCCCCGCCGTACGGGATTTGCACATCTGTGTGTTTGTGTGTGCCCGTGTGGGTGTCTGCAGAAAGATGTTCTGAGTGGGCTTTTTGAGATCGAGCATTTTTGTTTTTGCTTTTGTTTTTTTTTAGCCGCATCTTGGCTGAAAGGAATTGAGATTGGTTCTCCCCCCGCCTTTTTTTTTGGTCTCAGTCTGTCCTCCCACGGGCATGCTAGAGCACCCTGATGTTTGGGGACTCTTCTCCGGCCTTGTGTTGGTGGCATTAGGAGACAGCAGTGCACCATGGGGGTGCGGTGGCGCACGGGGCCTGCACAGGGATTCCTACCCCACGCCCCAGAGTCCACGCAGCCCTGCCGTGGTCTGGGGGCAGCCCAGAGGCTCCGGAGGGAAGAAGACGTCTGTGTTTGGGGGCGTTTGGGAAGGAAAGGCCCCTGCTCCTGGGGCTTGTCTCTGTGACTTTTCTCTCTTTCTTATAGGGCATGGAAGGGATCAAGGTGTTTCTCCACGAAAGAGAACTCTGGCTGAAATTTCACGAAGTAGGCACGGAAATGATCATAACCAAAGCTGGGAGGTGAGTTGTGGAGGGCCTGGGAAAATCGAGGGGGAGACGGAGAAGGAGAGGTGTCTCGGAGACCCAAGAGAGGGAAACCTGGAGAAGCCAGAGGGGCAGAGAAAAAGGCAAGAGAACAGAAGAGAGCAGAGAGAGAGAGAATGAATGTGTTTTTGTGTGACCCGATTTGGGTTAACGTTGCTTGGAGAACTTCTCCAGTGACTTCCACCCCTGGTGGGGGAAAACGCCTTCAAGATTCACCTCCAAAGCAGGGCACGTCTTCCGCCTGATACAGAAGAATTGAGAGCTTGGCGGGGGGGGGGGGGGGCTACGCTTATGGAGGACGGATTGGTAATGGGAGACAGTAGGACCGGGGGGAGAGAGAACGGGAAACCAGAGAGTTGCGGAGTCGGCTCAGAGATGAGACCCACTTCCAGCCTCGACTCCCGGCCCCCACCCTCCTTCCCGCCCTCCCTGACCTTGGAGCGGGTCCAGAGTCCCACCCGATTGCCAAACTCCGAATCGCTGAATGTATTAGCTACCTCTTTCATTGTTTATAGAAAGCAGGCGAAGCCTTTGAAACTGAACTGGGGCTCGGCCGGGCTCTATATACAGACACCGATAAACACGGCCGTTTCAGCAGTTTCACCAAGACACTCACCCCAGAGTTCCTCTTAAAAGCTCGCAGTTTTTCTGCTAGAAGTGCTAGACAGCTGGGGAGGCTGCGGGGAGGGTCCTGCAGCTCTGTATTTCCGAGTGCCAGTTTGCCCAGGCCTGGGGACAGCCTCACCATAGGCCTCCCCATGCTGGACCGACCCTCTGCGTCCCGAAGGGCAGAAGGCCCGGAGTCAGCCCCGACCCAGCGTGTGAAGCCGGCGCGTGAAGCCGGAGAGGCCAGTAGGCCCGAGCTGCTGAGCGTGTGAAGGGGGAGGGAGGAGCCGCTAGGGCAGACGCCCCCCGTTCTCCAGCTGAAGCCTCCCGTAATAAACTGACAACAGTGACATTTATTATTATTTGAAATTAAACAACGTCTTCTCCCCCGCTCGGCCCGAGTGAACCAGGAGGCGCATTCTGTTTATACTGAAAAACCAAGCTCTTCTTCCCATTCTTCCCAGGAAGGACACACACAGCCCGGCCCCCTCTGCCCTCAGCCTTAGCTGAGGGGCTTTAACTATAAAAGGCCTGGGAAGCCTCTCCTGCGCCCACGGGCAGGCGCACGTGCTCCGCCAGATAAACACCCCCGGTAAACACCCCCTGGCCCAGGCTCCAAGGCCTCCCTTCACTCACCCCTTCCCACCATCCCTGGGTGAGCCAGGATCCAGCAGCTTGTCCTTGCTGGCTTTCCTGGGCACGCACACCTCCCTTTCCCTCCACAGGAGGACTGGGAATTTGGAGCGCACGTCCCAGAACCCAGAAGGACGGGGTACGCAGCACCCACCAGCCCATGACCCCATCCTGGTTCCAGCTCTGGTCTTTCCGAAACTAGACCTGGATGGGTTTGGAGTTCCTTTGCAGAGGGCCAAAGTGTTTAGACTCTCCGAGGAAGAGTGCCAGGCACGTCGGAGAAGTTGGGGGGCATTTAGAAATAAATTTCGGCTAGGCTAGAGCCTCGCGGCAGAGGTCACCCGCTGAGCTCTACTCTGGGAACGGCTGAGGACCATAGCGAGGGCGGGAGCTGTATGGGCACCCACGGGTGTGCAGTCCCGAGGGCGCTTCACAGCCCTTTGTCCTCATGAGGTGGGAGCCGTGGGCTCAGCGACCCGACCACCTGTCTGGGCGCAGGACGCCAGCGTTTCCCCTAAAAGGGCTCCTTCTACCCCTAAATTAGAAAGTAGGTCTCTGGCTCTGAAAAGAGCATTTACAAAGAACAGAAACGGAGGTTCCAAGCAGAGCCTTCTACACAACTGTTTCTTTCTAGAAGCCTTGGCCTCCAGCTTTCTATTTTCCTCCTGGTTACAAATAGTCACCAGGCTCCTGCTCACCTCGGGGCCTATCTCCTCCCCAAAACTTCAAGGGAAACCTGGAATGGATCTTGCCAAGAGCGGAGCGGGGGCCACTTTTCTCCCCACGCGCTTCTGGAAGAGCTGCTGCTTTCATGAAAATGTGTAGATGTGCTCTTTACTGGATTGGCAGTAAAATTCTCTCTCTCTCAATCTCTCTCTCTCTCTCCCCCCTTCCCTTTCTCCGTCTTCCTTCCCTTCTCTCCCAGGCGGATGTTTCCCAGTTACAAAGTGAAGGTGACGGGCCTGAATCCCAAAACGAAATATATTCTTCTCATGGACATCGTTCCAGCAGATGACCACAGATACAAGTTCGCAGATAACAAATGGTAGGCACCGACCGGCATGAGCAGGTGGGAAGAGGGGGAGTGGAAAGCCAGACTCCCTACTCCCCGCATTGAACCAAGAAACAGTTTTTGAACGTCCTACTGTGTGCCAGCGGCTTTTGGTGCTATCCCAGACCACCCTGAGAGGAAGAAACAGCAGCCATTAGTCCCCATTTTATAGACAAGAAAACTGAGGCTCGGAGTAAGTCAAGGGCCTATATCTGTGGCTACACCCGCGGGTTGTGGATTTTTAGAAAAGGGTATTGTTTCCAAGCGCTGGAGGTATTTCTGGGGGCATAAAACCATTTACAGTTATTTTTTATGAGTTACCTGCTTTGAACATGCCTTTTTATGAAATTGCAAGGTTCGGCCATGGTATTTGAGTTAAACAGGCAAGAGAGGAGAGGTCCGTTCCTTGGCTGCCAAGCATGCAGAGAGGCTCGAATGGCAAGGCCTGTTTGAAAGCCCTCAAGGACTTTGCTTAGACTTTTTTGTCCAGACTTCCAGAACCTCCTGGTGGTCCCTGGTCAGCAAGAGGCTGCGAGGCCAGCAGTGGCACCCCTGGTGCAGGGGGAGGAGTGAGACCAAAGAAGAATGAGCCGGATGGGGGCCTGCCTGGACGCTGGCTTGCAGAGGCCCGGGGGAGGCCCAAGGGTTAGGCCATTTCCAGATCACTCTCCTATTCAGCAGCTCTTGCCTGGCCAGGCCCAAGACCCTGGCCAGCAAGCCAGGATGCTAAGTCTGGGCGGGTTCCGCCCCTCCTTGCTCCAGGTCTGTGACGGGCAAAGCGGAGCCTGCCATGCCCGGCCGTCTTTACGTGCACCCGGACTCGCCGGCCACGGGAGCGCATTGGATGCGGCAGCTGGTCTCCTTCCAGAAACTCAAGCTCACCAACAACCACCTGGACCCATTCGGGCATGTAAGTACCTGGTGCAGCTCTCAGTCTGTCTGTCCAGTCAGTCGGTCTTGCCCTCTCTTTCCTTTCCCACTGCGGGCTCCCTCCGTTTTCGCTCTCTTCTTGCCTCCTTACACTCACCTTTCTGCTTTCTTTGCCCCACTCCACGCATCTGGGTCTTTTCCTCTCTCAGGCTCCCTGATCCGGTCTTCTTCCCTTCTGCTTCCAGCGCTCTCCTGTGCAGTCCTCTCTGTGGCCCACCATCCCATGCTCTGGGGCTGCCTTTCCCAGGGAGCAGGAGACCAGGGCCCTGGGGTAAACTGAAGTGCACATCCCTGGTCCGGACGGACCTCAGGCTCACCAGTGATGAGGTGCGGTGGGCTGTGTATTTCAGACCTCAGAAAACCCAGTCCTTCTAGCCCAGTGACGACTTGGCATAGGCTGCCCAGAGACGGGACCATGGTGGGAGCCATGGACGCCTTCCCTGCTCACTTCCAAATCCTGTCTTATTATTGAGATGTTCCAACTGACAGGGAGATCCCGGGCCACCTGCTCCCTCTTTTACAGATGGGGAAACCAGCCTGCCAGAGGCCAACCCTGGAGCCCCCTTTTAGCTGATATATTGGGTTTATCCGTTTTTCTCCTCCCAACAACTTCCAGCTTCTCTCCCTGCCCCCACCATGCCCAGAGCAAGTCAGCTTGGACCAGAGTCCCAAACCTGGAGTCCGCAGGGCCCCCCCCTCCCTCAGAGCAGCCTGGTGAGCCCCCGAATCTGCATGGGGAGCATTGAGTGTGCTGCCCCCCACCTTCCAAGAGAATGTGTAGCTTTTAGCAGATTCTCTCGCTTAACCTAGATTCTCTTCCTCAACAAAAAACAAATGAAGAACAAAACACTGATTTGGAGGAAAATGTCTCTAGATCTTTTCATTGGCAGTGATTGATTGCCAGGACAGGACACAGTCTGTGACTGAATTCAGTGTGTCCAGAACCCTTGGCTTGATGATTTCACCATCAAGGGGGTCTTTGGGCATTTGGCCTTCATAGCAACTTAGAAATGAGGACACAAATACGCAGCCTTTATAAATGGTAGTCCAGGGGAAGGGAGGGGACCCGCCCAAGGTCACATAGCTTGTAATTTGGAGCAGGGATTTGAGGCTTGATATTTCTAATTCCAAGAGTGGAAATTAGAGGGAAGAATCAACAAACACATGGTCCTCAGTTGAGGGAACTGGGGTTGAATGGATTTGATTCGGAAGAGGGGCAGTTTGTGAAGGTCCCCACCACACCTCTTCTGCTCCTGTGGGGCCTTAGGGCTGAACCGCAAGGGTCAGTGGTGGGGTTGGGACAGTGATGCAGGCAGCCGCTGTCTCTCTGCACGTGGTCGTTGCGAGCTTGAACGGCTGGCCTCTGGGGAAGAGAGAAGGGAAGGCCCATTGCCTTGCTCGCGCTGGGGAAGGAGCAGAGGGTGCCAAGGGCCGTTTCAGTGCAAAACGGCAGGCCTCCTTCCCGTTTCAACCAGGCAGTTCGACGGACGGCCGCTTCCCGCGGGCGGGACCATCCCTGCGCCAAAATGCCCTCGAGCTTCTGGGGCGTTGGCTGGCGGGGGTGACGCGTACCTGCGGGCGCAGAACCGGGACTATCTGGGTGAAGCTCCGGGAAGAATCGGGACGGTTTTCCCGTCTGGCTGGAAGCCCTGTGGAGGCTCGATAGGACGCTTTTGTCGGGGGCGGGGGGACTCCGTGCAACCTTGGTGCCGGGCAGTGGGACTCGGGCGCCTGGCTTTCCCTCTGCGGGCCGGTCGGTGCCCTTTGGGGTGGGCGCCTGGGAAAGGCGCGCGGCCAGGCAACCAGGCCCCGGCACCCTTGCGAGTTTCCAGTCCACCCGAGCCCGCGGGAGAGCGAGGGTGCTCGGGGTGGCCCCCCGGACTCCCTCGTTGCCACGCAGCCCTGCCCCCCACCCCTCCAGCTCCGAACTCGGAGTCCAGAGCCGCTCTAATGAAATTAGGAGCCATTAGATCGCCCTCGCGCTGATGTCTCCACACTGTCCCCGGCCGTCAAAGCAATTTGGCTAAGCCGGGACGATGGCCGCGCCGGCCGGGGGCTGCGGCGGCCCTGCTGCGTCTCTCTGTCGCCACGCCGCCCCGGCCGGCGTCGCTATCGGCCAGGGAGGCGGCCCGGCCGCGCGGCCGGAGATTAGAGCCGGGGTCGTCGGGAGCCCCGGGGCCCCCGGTCCTCGCCCCTCCCCGCATCCCCTCCCCCACCTCTGGGCGGGTCTCAAGGGTTGGCCCAAGGACCCTGCCCCAGGGTCATCAACGCAAATAATCAAAGACACGGGGACAGCACCCCCCGACCCCCCCACCCCCCTCCCGCGCTGGGGAAAAGGCCGGCCAGTTTTTCAGCCCGTTCAGCGCGGCGATTGGCCCATTCGGAGGGTCTGTATCCGAGCGATTTGATAAATTCGCGTTCTCAGCCTCCTGAAATCATCAAAAGCCAGGCGTCTTCAAAACCCCAAAGCTAGTTTTATTAGCAAAGATGCTCGTCTCCTAGGACTAGTCCTGCTCCAGCAGAGAGGGAGTCTGGAGCCCCCCCCCCCCACCCCCCGCTCTTAATGCTGATCATAGTAGTCCTATTAGAGGTGCAGCCGGAACAGTAAGACCCTGCTTGTCCCTGGGAGCACCCCCAAACATGGAGATGGTGGAAAGGAAGGAGAAAGAGCGCTTTCCCAAGAAAGCAGAAGTAATGGTTCTGTCTGGGGCCAAGTCTGGAGATAATTCCGACTGTGGATCCCGAAATGTTGATAAAGTGGTAGAAAGGGAACCAGGAGAGAAGCAGGCCCTCCTTTGGTGGCAGTAGGATGGGGGGGGTGCTTCTTCCCCCCAGTCTCATCATCCTTGGAGGCCCACTCCCCATCCCACTATCTTCTTTTTTTCATTGACTCTACTTTGCACCTTCTAATGAAGGGCCAAGCTTGTGATTTTTATTCCAGTTCTGCAAACACTGGTCTTTTCCTTTGCCATCTATGTGAGGGAATTTTTTTTTCAGGGGGGGGAGGATGTTTGTTTATTTGTTTGTGTCTTCTCCCCTGTCATTCCAAAATTGATGCTTAAACTTGCCCCTGGGTCACGAGTTCCTTGCTCCAGACTTGTTTCTCCTGTGGTGGTGGTGGTGGGCTGCGTGGGGGGGGGGGTGCCCTATGCAGGAGTTAATTTATTAAGCAAACTTTATTAAGAATTCTGATTTACTGCCGTGTGTGCTTTGGGTAGATTCCTGGAATATTACCCTGGCTTTTTGGGTTGGAAATTGTCATTTTTGAAATGTTTCTTTTTAATGAAATCACTGGCCCCTTTTCAAAACAGGAGGAAAAAAATCAGACCTTTTTTTGAGAGTCTGTGTAAGGAGGTGAATTTTAGGGGTGGAGAGAGGGGATTTATCGGGAAACAAAGGAGTTTTGATTTTTCTTACAATCTCATTTTCCTTATTATTTTTAGATTATTCTAAATTCCATGCACAAATACCAACCCAGATTACACATCGTGAAGGCGGATGAAAATAATGGATTTGGCTCAAAAAATACTGCGTTCTGCACCCACGTCTTTCCTGAGACGGCCTTTATCGCAGTGACTTCCTACCAGAACCACAAGGTAAGCCCGAGGCCCGGGAACCATGTGCTGGGGCCGTTGCAGGAGAATGCAGGGGTCGCTGCTTGTGGAAACTTTTAAGCTTTAAGGGCTTCTTTATTCCCTCACAGCGGGCACCAGCTGTGACCTCCTGGGGGGGCTGAGGGTAGGCACCAAGCTATGGCCTGGAAGTTGAAGCTGTTTGTACTGTACTCATTCTGTTTCTCAACACACTAGTCAGACTGTAGGTGACATACAGGAACGCATCTCTCTGCACTCACGAAGTGATGGCCAGGAAGAAAGGTCACTTTACTGCAGGGGTCCATGCTCTTGGGTGGAGGCCTGGGGCCAGCTTCGTGGAACGTCTTTTTGTGGGTGAGGGTCTCTCCCCCACTCTGCCTTTTGGATGCATTTCAACTTGACCTGGGGCAGGTGACAGTTGCCAAGAAGCTCTGGGCTTGGGTTTGCAAGGTGCTTCTCTCCTTGTCTCCACGGTTATTGATCCTGGACCAGAGTGAGGCAGAGTTGGCATCGTAGAAAATAAGAACAAAAACCCCAGCGACTTGTGCCCTGCCCCCTACCCCGCCCCCCAGTAGCTCCCAGGAGTTAGATGAGACCACAGTAAAACCAGAGCTTGCAGAGGGAGGCGAGGGAAGCCTTGCCTTCCAGAAGGAGGCTGGAGGCTGGTATAGACATAGGAGGGTACAGTTCGATCCTGTCAACAGCAGACCCCACGCTGTTCAAAATCCACACCCCAATTTGGGCATTTCCAAGCTGGACAATGGTGCTGGAACAGGGCACCCCATCACTGCAGGTTGGGGGTGGGGGATCTTTTCTTCTTTCCCAGGAGAAAGGGGTCTGCTTGACTTGTCATGGTTTGCTTCTGTTCTTAGAAACGTGAGTGCCCCTGGATTCATTTTCTTGGTGGGAGGACAGGATTGAGTGATTCTCAAGCCGAGTTCTGAAAAGACATAGAATCTGGCAAGGCAAGATACAGGGTGGGGGGGAGCACCATGGGGGTGCAGGCTGTTAGCATTAAGTATTGTGGTCTGGGTTGGAGGACTGTTCAAGGGGAATGTAGGGGTTTCCATATGGGATCAGTGAGGACAGGTCACTGGGGCACCATAAGGAGATGGACATGGGGATGGTAACGTCCTTCCTCCTTCACAGCTCCTGTCCCCATCAGCAAGATCAGGGTAGGGTGGCAGGAAGTTACAGGGGCCTTGAAGCCAGGCAGGGGTGAGGGGTGGGTTTAGCACCCTAAAGCCTCCCGCCTACACACTGAGTGTCAGATAACACCCCTCCTTACCTCCCAGCAAAGCCGTGGTGGTTCCAAGATGGTACTCTCCAAATTCGGGCTGCCAGTCAGCAGGCCAAGAGGTGATGGATGGTCCCTTCAAGGCCACAAGTCCTGTCTGGGGACCCAAGTGTTGAGAGAGCTTCCCTCCAGAAGGAAACTCACTCTTTCCAAAATGCAATTACTTTTTAAAGGGGAAGAAGAATTTTTTCTGAATTCCACCCCGACTTGTCAAACCAGCAAGAGCAAAATCATTAAGGTCAAATACTCTGAAAATTGCAAAACTATTTCAGGCTAATTTGGGTCTGGCTGTGAGAGACCTGTTTCCTCTATGGCTATTGTAAATCTATGTTTAACTTTGCGGTGACAGTCACAGGGGAAAAATTTGGAAGAAAATAGCAACAAGGACACTCAGTCTCACCACGCCTCTCTCCTTCCCTCCCTCTCATATGTGTGTATATACATACACACACGTTTGTCTATGTATTAACATATATATACACACACATGCACACACACACGCTTAGACCTGACAGAGGATCCAAAGATATATCAGATTTTCTTTTCTTTTCTTTAGTTTCTTCTCTTTTCTTTTTTTTCTTCTTTCTTTTCAACTAAGAAAGTCCAGACTCATACAGAAAGGACAGGAAATAGTAGATTCCTGAAAGTGACCTGCTAAAGAAAGATGTGAGTACTCAGGTCCTTTGCGGGGAATCCCTAAGCTCTTTGTAGTTATGCAGAGGGTCTTAGGGTCCATCAAGCAAGGCTAGATCTGGGAGAGTGTATTCTCCCAGAACCCTGGGATCATGACCTGAGCTGAAGGCAGATGCCCAACCAACTGAGCCACCCAGGCGCCCCTCCGCTTTTTGAGGCATAACTGTCATACAATAAATTGCAATATTTGAAATATACCATTTGGTGAGTTTGGCATGTAGGTAGCCATGAAGCTGTCATTGCGACCACTTGTGAATATACCCCACGGCCCCCATGTCTCCTTTTTAAAAAAAAAAAAAAATGCCCTCCCCAGTGAATATATTTAGTGATCCATGCGCTTGAAGGAGTGTCTGCCCAGTAGGGTGTGTACGTGTGAGATTTGAGCACAATCTAGGGGATTGTGTGTCTAAATGCTCATGGGTCTAAAAATGTGTGTCTCCAAATATCCATCTGGATCGATGTGTGTCTGATAACCACACAAAGGGTTCACAGATGGGAATTGGGGTATTGGTTTGGTTTGTTTTTAATTGGTTGGGTCCATAAAGGTTTTTTTAGCCTGACATCCGGAAGAGGGATTTTTTTTAAAAAAGATTTTATTTATTTACTTGACAGACAAGAGATCACAAGCAGACAGAGAGGCAGGCAGAGAGAGAGAGAGAGAGGAGGAAGCAGGCTCCCTCCTGAGCAGAGAGCCCGATGCGGGGCTCGATCCCAGGACCCCGGGCTCACGACCTGAGGCGAAGGCAGAGGCTTCAACCCACTGAGCCACCCAGGCACCCCTCGGAAGAGGGATTTCATAGGAGACAACTTTCCATCATTCTTCTTTCCCCGCTCCCCAACTTTTTAGTTGTGGACTACCAAAGGCCTCTCTGTTCCTTGTCAGGAGGTAGTCTAAAGTCATACGTTTTTCCAGCCCAGTCCAGGGCCTGCTCAGGCGTTCCCCGCGTGGATGTAGAAAACGTGACTTAAACACTCAGGCCAAGCTGAGTGTGGTTTGTGGACTCCGTCTTGTTCCTTCTTTGTCCCACCTGGGCCAGGTGTGGAGACTCTTGACTTTGTGGGCAGAAGCCACCTGCTGTCTTACCCTTGCCTAGGGACCAGGGGGGACTCTGGAGGCAGGCTGCCTGGGTTTAAATACATTTGACTTGCGCAGGTTACTCAGTTTTCCTCATCTGTGAAATGGGGATGAGACGAGAATCGCTCGTGTTTATCATCGCGAGGACTAAATGAGGTAGTCCTTGGAAAATGTGTAGTACGGGGCGTTCATTACACACATTCTCACCCAGAGGGAGAGCGCTGATCCCATGGATTGACTGCTCGACGAATTCCTTCATAACAAGACAACTCCATCCAAAACGCAGGCCCTGGGAAACTCTTTGCCTTCCCCAATTATTCTAGAATCAGAAGAACTGAACTTCTATTTTTTATTTTATTTTATTTTAAATTTTTTTAATACAATTATCTTTAAAAAAAAAAGATTTTATTTACTTATTTGACACACAGAGAGAGATCACATGTAAGCAGAGAGGCAGGTAGAGAGAGAGGGGGAAGCAGGTTTCCTGCTGAGCAGAGAGCCCGATGCAGGGCTCGATCCCAGGACGCCAGGACCCCAGGACCCTGAGATCCTGAGATCATGACCCGAGCCGAAGGCAGAGGCTTTAACCACTAAGCTACCCAGGCGCCCCAGAACTGAACCTTTAAATAAGTTCTTCTCATGATGTTTGAAAAACAACGACAAGTGTCCGTCTTTGTGGTTGAAGGCGTTCACGTGCTGAACATGCCATCAATTTGAAGACTCTTTGCAAAGATGCTTTGACTACATGAGCGAGGACAGAACAGCAATCCATGGGATTTAATTGCCAGGACAAACTGGGACCATAGGAGGCACTCAGTTTTAGTGTAAGTGAACCGATGCCTCCCGAATGCTCTTTCTCAGCTGGGATGCCGCTGTTCCAGGTGGAGGCAGGTACATGGCGACCTTCATTTGTGAGACTGGGGTCCGCAGAGGCTCCTAATGACACGACATGTTTCCTCAGCCCAGCTGTGATCCCAAGCTGGATTTGGGAATTATTTCCCCAGATGGCTGACAGCTTGAAAAAGATACTTAAAAATCTCGACTCTTCCGCAGCAACGATGTTTGCTCTGTGAAACATGTTTCTGTAAGGTTTTCACTGAGGCTGTCAGCAGCACCCAGAACGAGCCCTAGAAATATTTAGGTGTTAAAAAAAGGTCACGTGGCCATTTCATTTCTCTGCTCTTGCAACAATGGCCGTGTATGCAAGCATGTCTGTCCCCTGATATTAACTTACTTTGCCATTAAAAGGCATTTTTCCTCCTGCTTAAATCATTGTGTAAGGAATCTGTATTTATGAGGTATGAGCTTTCTGGTTGGGACCAGGAAATGAACCTCTAATAGAGAGACATAATTAAGATTTTTGGCTCTCGTGAGGGTTTTTTTTTTTTTTTCCCAAAAGCAAGAATTCGCAACAATTATTCTCATTAATTTTTACAACCTCTGTCTCACTGGTTGGAGCTGGCATTTATATTTGTTTTAGCCCCCCCTCCCCCCCCTCCTCCACCCGGATATCCGGTTTTATGCTGATCTTGGAGAGGCAGAGCATTTGGTGACTAGCGCAAGTCGGTTTCAGGGGAGCCTTTTAGTAGAACTCAGACATCCGACCATGTCATGTGCCCGTGAGCGAGCCAGCCAACAGGCGATGTGTTTGGAAGGGAATTTCAGAGACGGGGGTGTACAGAATCAGGCTGGCGTTTTCACCTGCTGCAGAGCTTGAGTATTAACGGTTCTTCAGGGTAATAATTCTTAGGTCCTGGGGACCTCCTCACTCGGTCTACAAACAAGACCTACGTAAGGATCCACATACCTAAGTGTCTGTGTAGCGAACCGGGCTCGTCCTGTGCAATCATATTTTTGGAAGCTCAGACATTAGGTAGGAGTAGGACGTGTCTGGGGTGCAAGGAATGGTTTCGAGTGAAAGATTTTTGCTGTTCAAAATACCCAAACCCGCCTTCCCTCCTTTTCTTTCTTTCTTTTTTTTCCCCCTCGCGGTAATTGTTTGTCCTGAGCTATTGATGGAACAGTGACGTCATGGATCAGGCATTAATTCAGCCCCCATACCACACCCGTGTTGCCTACGAAACTCGCGGGGAGTGCAGCGAGGATTCCCTCCACCCCTTTTAGAATGACCTGATTTTTTACTTCACATTTTGAGAATCCCTCTCCCCGCCACCTTTTTAAAAAAAAAAACATGATTTATGGTCAGTGGGGTTGCATTTTTCTTTTTTTTATGACAAAACCTGAGTGGGAGAGAAAGTTCCATTTAAGTGACTCGGAATAGAATCCGATTCAGGAGTGCCCATTTTAAAGGCTGTTTTCCTAAGAGACTTTATTTTTTAAAGATTTTGTTTATTTATTTGACAGACAGAGATCACAAGTAGGCAGAGAGGCAGGCAGAGAGAGAAGGGGGGGAAGCAGGCTTCCCACTCGATCTCAGGACCCTGAGCTGAAGGCGGTGACTTAATCCACTGAGCCCCCCAGGTGCCTCATCCTAAGAGACTTTTACAGACCTTTCTACTCATTTGGAAGGGTCAAGTCAAAATCAGAAAGTTGTAGGAATGAATCCAGTTTAAAAAAAAAAATGAGGAAAGAGGGAATGTGTGTACCCATGAAGACCCACCCCTATTTTAGCAGTTTTAAAATAGGTCTTATATTTTTAGAGTCGCTTTAAGATGACAGCAAGGTTAAGTGGGAAATACAGAGAGTTCTCTTGGACCTCCTGTCTCCGAAGGGGGAGAACCTCCACAAAGGCTCCCCCACCATCAACATCGCCCTCCGGGTGGGACATTTATTACAATCGATGAATCTATACTGAGACATCGTTATCATCCAGAATCTGCATGAGGACTCACTCTTGGGGTCGTAGATTCTGTGGGGGTGGACACGTGTACAATCATGAACATGTATGGACCGTTACATTATCACCAGAATAGTTTTATTTAAAGTCCTCTGGGCTCTGCCTATCCATCCCTCCCTCCCCGCACCATCTCTGGCAAACCACGGACCCCTTTTTGCTGTCTCTTTAGTTTTGCCTTTTCCAAAATGTTGTCTGTTTGGAATCAACATATTTTTGTTAAAACATTAATTTTATATATATTTTAAAAAGATTTTATTTATTTATTTGACAGAGATCACAAATAAGCAGAGAGGCCGGCGGTGGGGTGTGGGAGAAGCAGGCTCCCTGCTGAGCAGAGATTCCCCCGACGCGGGGCTCGATCCCAGGACCCTGGGATCGTGACCTGAGCCCAAGGCAGAGGCTTAACCCACTGAGTCACCCAGGCGCCCCGGTTTTTTATTTTTTATTGCAGGCATACACACATCCACGTGTGTCACATAGTAATTTCATGTTCATTATAGAGTCTTGGAGTTAGAAGGAAACCTTATAAGGCCATCTCTTCTAGAAAACAGAACGTACCAGAATGCCTGCCCCCAAATGGATGAATTATGGGTGCATTCACTAGTTACTACTCCTGGCTTCTCAAAGAGACTTTCTCAAAGTCTGTAACTCTACTATTGGGGGTAGCTGACATGGTTTTTGCGGGTCCTTACATAGGACAGGAACACAGAAAATTGTTCTCGTTTTGATTATCTTTCTACTCATCTATCAGGAAGAGAGTTCAGTCCCAGTGTGTGTTAAATGCATTTCTTAAAGTGTCTCGTTTCCCCTTGCAACAAAGTGAGGGCAGGCCTTGGGTTTGGAACTTTCTGCAGGGGCCAGCAGAGAGAATTTGATATAGTAGTTTTCCTTTTATCGAATAGCTCATGATTCTACTTTGAGGTGGAGAGAAGTGATATCATATTTTTTAATAAAATATATATGGGGACACCTGTGTAGCTCAGTCGGTTAAGCGGCTGCCTTCGGTTCAGGTCATGATTCCAGGATCCTGAGATCAAGCCCTGCATCAGTGGGGAGCCTGCTTCCTCCTCTCCTGCTTCCCCTGCTTGTGTTCTCTCTCTCACTGTCTCTGTCAAATAAGTAAATAAAATCTAAATAAAATAAAATAAAATAGATGTAAACAAAAAGTGGTGAGATTTAAATCAAAATACTAAGCAGAGACCAGTGTACAGGTAGATACAATGTTGTAGATATAATTTTATATTGTAAGTATAAATAATACATATTATATAATGTTATTATATAATGAGAAGATTATAGATATAATAACGATGGCGATGGTGAAGCTTTCGTGATTGAACCTCATGAATGTTGCCTCGGTGGCTCTCAAGAGATTCGATAAATAAAAATTCAATTCACACGCAGCTTTTAGGAAATATTTTAGCAGACTCCATACGGATGTACTCTTTCACCAGAATCTGTCTTGTACACTCACGCTTATAGACTACGTGTGTTGATGGTTTCCGTGAAAGTTCTGACCATTGAACCCAAGATCCTGTTCTACTGCAAACCTCTGTGCATTGCAGCAAACACTTCCAAGAACAGGGCTCTCTCTTCTTTATCTGGAGAATTGAAGGGCTTTGGAGCTGACAGACAGCTATCATGCATGTTACAGTCCTCTCTCTGGGTGTTTATTTAATTCGGCACCAACTTCCACCTGTGCTAACTAGCTCTGCGAAGCTGAAATGAACAAGGCACGAGGCATAGCAGAATCCTGAAAACAACCAAGTTTCTCCAAATGGCGGTCACCAGGCTGCGGGACAAGGGACACCATGTCACCGTGCCCAACTTTCCGAGGGGGAGGGGGACTCCAAGATTGTGTTTGAAACACAACATGCTGGGATTAAAAAATAAACCAGCCCGGCTAGAGTGATGCAGAATATGACTCCAATTAAGGGGCAAACCAAAACCAGGTTTTTTCCCTTTTTAAAAGTGGTCTGATCTAGGGCATTTTTCAAAGCCTCCTCTAGAATGAAGTGGTGGGTCCCACTGACGTGACTGGCTTAATTTGCTTCTTTTGGTCACCAGAGGCTGCGTTTCCAGCCATCGAGTGAAAACCGACTCTCTCTCTCTCTCCCCCTTCCTGCAGATCACCCAATTAAAGATTGAGAATAATCCCTTTGCCAAAGGATTCCGGGGCAGTGATGACATGGAACTACACAGAATGTCAAGAATGCAAAGGTAAGAAGGTGGAGTGCTGGGCTCCTGTCTCTCCACGTTCCCTCTCACCCCCGCAAGGAACCCCGGAGAGCCCGCAGCCGCCTCCCTCCTCCCGCCTTCCTCCCCACAGACGCCCAGGCATGTTGACCATCAAGAAAAAGGAGAGACAGCCACCTTCGGTCCCACCGTCTGATGACCCCCACATACTCCCATGTGGCTCACCCTATGGGATAGTCCTGGGCGGTGGTGTTGGGGGGAATGTGTCCTCTGGGGATGGGAAGGGGGAGAAGGCACCAGGGAACTTGGCCTTCTCCATCTGCCCAGGGCAACAAAAGCTCCAGCTTTCTCTCCCTTTTCTTTGCCTTCTCTTTCCTTCTCGTGAAATCAGTCCTTTCTCTCTTTCTTCCCATAAGTCACAGCCGATGAATGATTTTCTTTTTGGCAACAACTCTTGGTAAATGAAAGGGAAGTTAATGACTCGATTTCCTGGGGGTGAAATGCAGACAAATTTGACACCACGTGGTGGTCCGGGGCACTGGGGGATTGGAAGCTGGTGATAAAAATTGCTCGGTATTTTTACATATCCTGTGGTCACAGTCGCTGATATGATGAATAGAAGGGGTTGTAGCAAATGTACATAGTGGGAATTTGGTCTGATTTGAAAGGATTGTACGAGCATTGCCAATTTTGTCAAACATTCTCTGTACCTCTTCATATGCTTCCAAAATAACTTACCATATGGTAAGAGAATGAGAAATACATCTTGATTCCTTTGACCAAGAAAGGGTTCCTTGCCTCCCCCCTCTTCTTTTGGTGGGTTTAGTGTTTCAAAATAAAATGAGGTCACATAGGAAGCTTTTCTTTATCCTTTCTGGAAGACATGAGAAGGGTGAGTCAGGCAGATGGGACAGACATACTCATTCAAAGAAAGATAAGGGATCTAAGTAAGAGAGGAACAGAGAAAGGCCATAGTGTTGTCGTTTTCACACTGGTTTGGAAATTCATGCCTTGGAAATTGTTTCTAGTGAGCGGGCTTTCCTGATCTAAGTTTGCGTGCTTTTATTTATTTATTATTTTTTAAAGTGCTTTAAAAAATAAAGATTTTATTTATTTATTTGTCAGAGAGAGAGCAAGAGCACAAACTGGGTGAGCTGCAGGCAGGGGGAGAAGCAGGGTCCCTGCTGAGCAAGGAGCTCAATACGGGACTCAATCCCACGACCCTGGGATCATGATCGGAGCTGCAGGCAGACTCTTAACCTACTGAGCCACCCAGGCGTCCCAGATTTTGCATGTTTTAAAGAAGAACTACACCCTGACCTTCAGGTGTGCCTATCTCTGCCGCACTCGTCTGCATTTCTGCATTTAGAATCGGGTTTCTTCCCAGTCATGGATCAGTAAGATGCTTTTTGTGACTACAAGAACCAAGTTCTTAAATTTTCATCGTTAAAAAATAACAACTGGCTTTTTGAATGTCTGCATTTTGAAAGTGGAGTTGGGTTGAATCTATGGTCCGTGGAAAAGTTGACAACAAGCTATCCTAGAAAGGGAGAGGGGCCAACCTTCTAGTTGTCACTAAGGGATTTTAGGCTTTGACAGATTCTCACCTCCATCCTCCATCCGGTGAGGGTCGAGGCCGTGCAGGTAGGGACTGGAAGCAAGGTACCCCGTTCCAGCCCGCAAACCAGGGGTCTTCCCTCCTTTCCACAAGGTCAAGAGCAGGTGGGATCGTGGACTTGAGGTGTTGTAAATCGCCCCCTCACGTGTAACCAGTCACCGGGTCCTGTTGAGTCTGCCTTCCTAATGTATGTCTGAATTCACCCCCTTTCTCCTGCTGGGCTGTTCCCATTTTCTTGCTCACCACAGCCTCCTAAGTTATTTAAACCCTTCCAGGACTTTCTCCAGGCATCTGCCAAAGACATCTTTGTAAAACACAGACCAGTGAAGGTTACTCCACAGCGTAGAACACACCCAGGCTTCCTGTTGCCCTCAAGATAAGGCCCAGACTCCTCCCTGTGGTGGGCCTGCCCTTCCCGTCGGTCCCAGCCACTCCCTCGCTTTGCCCCCGGCCTGTGTCCTCTCTCTGTCTCCATCACGCTAAAGGAGATGCTTCACGCCTGTATCCTTCCCACCGTGTTTGGCCCTTGGAACAGCATGTCTGGTCTTCTGCAAGCTTTCTCCCTTCCTCTTTGCTCAGCCTTCTCCTGTTCATCATTAGGTGTCCTTGGAGCGGTCCCTTCTTCCAAGAGACACTCCTTGGCCACAGACTGTGGATGTCTATCCCCACGACCCCTTGGCGCTTTCCTGTGTCAGGCCCGGGCCCTGCATTTTGGAAGCTGACGGGATAGATGATAGGCATGGAGGAGAGACAGGTGGGGAGGGCAGGTGTCTGAGAGATGAAATGTCGGTCACCCCAGAGATTCTCCCCTGAGGTTCTAAACACAGCTGGTTATATATCTAGGTGGATGGCTCTACTTTGGTCTGAACTGGGTATCCCGATCATTCCCCTGTCAGCGCAGGTTGGCTGAGGGGTCGTCTACGTGTCCTCTTTGGGTAGGCACTTGCAGAAAAAGGTGGGACAGGGTGGCTTGTAGTCAGTAGGCACTAATTGACATAATGGGTGCAAACCTGCAGCCAAAGAACCATGTATGTCTTTGTGGCCATGTTAGGAGTTGCTCTGGGGAGCCAGAGGGTTGACCTAAGCACTGACCAGGCCGGAAGAACAGACAGGGTCATCTGCCCAGTCCTGTGCACATGGCGCCCCATGTGAAGGAGTAGGAGAAGGAGTAAGGCAGAGTGGCTCCAAGAGAAGGCTTTGGGACTCGGATGAACCTGGCTTTCATCCTTGCTCTGCATTTGTGAGCATGTGACCTCGGGCAAGTGACTTAACCTCACAGAGCCTCAGTATCTTCATCTGTAAAATGGGCATAAATGACAGCCTCCACTTTCCATGATTCTTAGAAGAATTATATGAGAAAATGTCTATAGGGTGCCTGGCTCCTAGTCAGTGTATCTGATTTGAGGGAAGACTCCCCATTACTCCCAGTTCTGCCCTCACTCGGCATTTATTCTGGGCTATGGTCCCAGCTCCCAGTGACAAGTGGGGAAGATGGCTGTCCAGAGTCGGCCGTGATAACAGCCAGGCCAGAACGGCAGGCTCCCTGTTCATCTTGTAATCCTGTTTCCTGTCCCCTACACACCCGGTGACAGCTGGCCCGTGGGGGGGAAAAAGTAGGAGGAATGACATTTCCTCTAATTCCAACAGTTGGAAGAAGGGGAGAGGGCCGGACACGGACCCGCGCATAGCCCACATAAATAACGTCTGGATTAGCTTGGCAAATGTCTGGACACTCACCCTATCTCTCCGAGCCCCACTCTCTGCGTTTGGAAAATGCAGATGGTGTCTTAGTTGTTTTTCCACCGCTCATTTATGGGCTCTGGTTGCAGAAGCAAGAACCGCTTGTTATAAAAATGGGTGAGCTGTGGAAAAAGCACAAAAAAGAAGATGAAATTATTTTAAAATCCTGTCTCCAGCCGACCGATTAGAATATGTGCCAAGGTCATTTCGAAAGGTTAATCCGCGGCTTAAGAAAACATGTTACCCTAAACAAATAATATTTCCCAAATTGCAGCACCTGTAGCCTGGTGACAGATAGGAAGATTTTAGAAGGTATACAGACATGGGAACACCAGGCAGATTTTAGAGACAACGTTGCTTGGAATGAGAGTAAGTTCTAAAGAAGGAAGGAGAGAGGAGGGCGGGGGAGAGGTAAGGTTGATTATTTAAGGGAAAATGGTAATTAAATGAGAGTAGAACTGGTATAAAATTTTGGAGGACTTGTCAAGGTGATATGCAAGTAACAGAAATTTGAGAAATATCCCTAAATGCTCATCCCAACAAGAAAGTCGTGGGAGCTTTCGCTGTGTGAAATGACCTAGGCCCTGGTTTTCCATGAAATGTTGCTTTCTTTGACCTTTGCTTTAGTCTTTAAGATGTGTTCAGGCAAGCTGTGAACTTCCTAAGAGTGGAAGGTGTTGGAGGCCAAGGCCAGGGCCACTGGGGGAGGGGGTGGGAATGATGGGGGGAAGGGAGATGGAAGAAGGAGGGGAGAAGAGGGTGGGAGGTAGGCCTTGTGGGAAGAGGGGTTTGCATGTGTTGGGAAGAAGGGTTTTCTGGGTTGGGTCAGGGTAGAAGTGGGCAGGGATCTGCAAGTCTGGAGTAAGGGTCAGAAAGTTCTCTGAAAGCCCCCTGGGATGGCACAGTGGAGGGGGAAAGGGGGACAGTTGCTCCAAGAAATGACATTCTAGAGACAAAAGGGACTAGAGAAGACAGCATCTCTTCCAATTTTGCAGAAGGAGAACTGAGGACTGGAGAGTCACTTACTTTTCCAGTGTCGGATCTGTCAGTCTGTTATTCTGGGAAGACATACTTATTAAGTGCTCACGCTGGAGCAGCTCTTGAGGCAGCAGAGGTGAATCAGCCCCGCAGAGGGGCAGCGTCCCCGGGTGGAAATCTCTGCGGTTGGGCTCCCTCAACTCCACCCAGCCTCTACTTCCTCATCGGTAAAATGGGAGATAATTACAGAACCTACCTCCAGAGCTGTTGCACGGGTGGAGGAGGTAATGCGCATGTCCTGATGACTGTTGCTACATAACAGAGTATTCCCGGGCCTCACTGGGACTGGCTGGGAAGCCCTGGGCCGCAAGCTAGGCCATCCTCTCTCTGTATGTGAGGGTAGACCCGGGAAGAGCCAAAGCTCCAGAAACCACTTGCTCTGTGCCTCCACAGCTAGTTCAAGGGACGCGGAAGTGCAGACGACCTCAGTTCTGACTGGTCGCCACTGTATGCAAGGCAAAGCACGAGGTAACACGAAACACTTTTATTTTGTTCATGGTTTGTGGGTCAGGAACTTAGAAAGGGATCATCTGGGCCATCCCTGCCTGCCTTCCGGTGTTGTCTGGGGCGGCAGGTAGCTGATGGCACCAGGCCGGATGTCCGGACTGGGACACTGCTGTCATCCATG